CAAAAGCGTACATGCTATGCTCTTTTCTTCATACAAATCTTACAAGTTATTTTTTTTCTCGCGCGAGTCAATGTTAAAGTCGCTGGTTGAGCCTCTTTTCTTTTCTTTCTGCATCATTTCGGATCGAATTCTCGTTATTGTAAGACGCGCGCGTTCGTTGTTCGCGTATATATTTTATATTTTCTCAAAAAGTAGCTAGTTTTTTACTGTACATAAAAAAGTTTTCTTTGGAACATTTTCATGAACGAAAAATAAAAAGCAATTAAAGAAACGTTAAAAATATACAACAGTTTGAATCAATTCTAATGTTAACACCAATTGACTGCCAATTGAACAATAAAAAAAAAATTTTGTGCAAAAGATATAAATAAAACAAAATAATGAACAATGACTTGAGCCAAAGGACACAATTTTAGAATGGATGTAAATAATGTTTTGTGCTAGCACCTTTATGGGTGCACAAAGAAAAAAAATCGACCGAGAGTGCAAAATAATGAAAATAAATGGAATTGAAGGAGAAGTTTTTCACACGCGAACTTTTTCATTTTTTTTTAACACCGAATAAAGGCAAAAGCCCAAAAGTCGTAGAGAATATAATAAAAAGAATCCAAATGCTTGTTCGCAGCGTAAACAAAGCATTTTGCGGGAAAATTTTCATGTAAAAAAAATTATTAATATAATGGAAAAATTTTTCTCTCGCCACAAAAGTCATCTTCAATGTGAACAAAATAAAAGTGAAATTAAATGAAAAAAGCAGTTTGTAATGCAAGATATGCTAGTGAGATTTTCATATGAACGGATTTTTTTTTTATAATTTGGCGAGTGATATGAGTTTGCCATGAGCATAAAGTGTAAAAAAAAGTAAGACAAGAAGAAGAAGAATGAGCACTTATCTCGCTTAATGTAAAGAAGCTGGGAAGTAAAAATAAAAAAAAAAACAAATTGAATAACTTAAAGCTCATTAAGATGCTTTCAACATATTAAAATTCATATTCAGATATCATGTCGTAATTAATTCGGATTAATGAACGATTAAAGATCCAAAGGTTATGATAATGAATCAGTAAAAGATACTCAGACAAGAGAGAAGACAAAATTTTGTGAAATTCTATAACGGCAAAGTGCAATATATCGTAATAGAGGCTAATAAATATGATTAGAAACTTTTCCCCAAAAAATTATCTAGAACTCAAGAAAAATCTATAAAAAAAGATGTAAAAGGAAAGAAGTAATAAGTGATGAAAAGATAGAAACTGTGTGTGCAATATAAATCCAAAATAAGAATAAGAATAATAATCGTAATATACACATAAAACTTGGAATTACATTACCAATGAAGCGTTAAACAATTACGCGAAATCGAAAAAGAAGTGTTAGAAGAAAAAATTCTATACAATTCAATTCAATTCAATTAAGATTCATAAAAGGAACAAAAATGCTGGGAAATCAATCGAATGGTAATTGTAATAAACCTGTGTTTAGAAATGCTCGTCTATTCGGACCTAACTGTACCATTGGCAATGGCAGCAATAATAGCAATAATAATTCGAAAAGTGCTGCAACTGCTACCAATAATGGGAGTAAAAATCAAACCACTGAGCATCAGAGTGATTTTATTGAAGAAGACTTCAATGAATACTCGAAAACTGATATTCCGGAAATGAAATTATTGCCGATGGAATATGTAGGAAAAGTTAAATCGAAACCAAAGCCAAAATGTCCCCCACCCCCACCACCAGTAAAAAATATAAAATGCAAATGTCCCGCATCGAATTTGAATGATAGAAAGCCAGCAGGTAAATCTGCGTTAAAAGTCACAATAAATGCACCTGAATCAGCAAAGGAAAAAGCATCGACTAAACTGTCTGATAAATATTTGGTTTATAAACAGAAGCATTCAATATTTGGCACATCGAAAGATATTTTAAATGGAAAGCTTAAATATGTCAGTGACAATGATAAAAGTTCTGTAGATGCTGCCATACAGGATGCACAAAAATCAAAAGAAGGAAGAAAGAAATATTTGATTTTTGACAGTAAGAAGAACAACAGCAGTAAGTTTGAGACTATTCAATATTATTTCGATAATAAAAGTTATGAGAAGTATGTTGATACAAAGCTGTATGGTAGATTGAATCAAATCTCCAATCCTCAACCTATTTTGAAGAAAAATAACAGCAATAGTAATGGAAATAGAAATATTGATGACGACGACGATGATGATGATGAAATAGATGATATTGATCTAAACAGTGATATCGACATGAGGGGATTCGAGAACTCACGAAGCTGGGAATATCGTGATAATGCAAAAACGGAATCAAAATTGAAACTATTTGAATCGAAGCAGAAAAAGCAAGAATCAAGTAAAAAATCTCAGTTCAGATCGAGTAAGAGTGAAGGCAGTTGTAGTGGCAATATAAGTGGAGCAAGTAGTTGTAGCGAAGTTTTATTGAAACGGCAAAATTGTCGATTAAAGCCGCAACAAAAGCAGACATTATCGAAATCAATAGGCGACCTTACAGCCATCAACAAAAGCAGCAAGACAAATCACGATGTGAAGCGAATTAATCAATTATTTGAGAATGCAAAGCAAAATCAGGTGACAATAGCATCAGCCTTGAAATCTAATGTTGATAACAAAGAGAAATATAAAATTCATAAAGTTGTGAGAGACGACAGTAACGTCGTTGGCGACAGAGGGAATTTATGTCGAGAAAATGTGAAAAAATACCACAGATCATCGACTGATTTAAGCATTAAGTCGCCAGTATCAAAACCATCCTCGTGTGGATTTAAGAATTGTAAGCTATCCAATTGCCCAATTTCACATCATACAAACCATAATTCACCGCCAATACCATCTGTTCCGATTGGCAATGATCGAAGAAGTAAGTTCGATGAGAACTTTATTAAAAAGTTTGAAGACATGATGAAGAACTCGAGCAGCACTAATAGTAATAATAATAATAATTGCATATTAAGAAATAATGAGATAACTGTGAATAAAACTAATATAAGTGTTAATGGAAAGAGTAATATTATCGTAAATGATACAAAAAACAATTTCTTACCACCATCATCATGCCATGACGTATTAATCATCAATAGTGATTGTTCTTCCACAAATCATGAAAAAGAAGTGCACTCGAAGGCAAATAACAACAATAACAATAAAACAACAATAAAAATCAATGATTCTTGCTTTGTGGTCAATAATAGCAATGATGTAAAATATAATAACAATGAAAAGTATGAAAACAAGAACATAATAGAGCTGAATAGTGAGAAAGTCATGACACCAACGAATTGGGATAAGAATATGAAAGTTAAGAATAATCCACAACCAAAGTTCAATAACAAGATTGATGTGAACAATAAGATTAAGAATGAAGAAAACAGTGTGAAAATCTACGTCATTGGAAATGACAGTGCATCGTCCCCAACTCCCAGTGCTGCATTCTCAACAATTTCATCGACATCGCCCGACACTTCATCATCATCAGACTCAGATAAAGACGATGGATATTATGATGCAAGCTCACAAGGTCGTTCATCGTCTCCAGAATTTTCGGAAATGTTTAAGAAACTCCGTGACATGTGCAATGCAAACAATAAACAAGTTAAGAAGCAGCCTAACATGAAATTTGGATATGACGGCACTCTCTTTTGGAATAACTCATATTTTGATGAAGATGAGACAGATTTCATGCTGACAGCTATGAATAATAATAACAAAAGCAGTATAAGTAGGAAGAATGAGAAAATATCGTCAAGCTCGTCGACATATGCATGCACAAAATGTCACACGACAACTGAAGATTTATTGAGTAATTATATCTGCATTTGTCGTAATAAGGTAAAGAAAAATTTATGTTTTGTGATATTAATCTCATCTTCATACTCAATTTTCATCGTTGTTAATGGCGTAAAAAAAATTGTTGGAAGTTAAAAATGCTTCCATAAAGAGGTTCTAAGGCGCAGTTATTGTTTTGAATTTTGTTACTTTTTATTCTTGAAGCTATTACTTTTTTTAAGTTTCAATAATTAGAAATTCACAATTTATGTGGTATCAGTTGCTTATACTTACAGTTCTTATCTACTGCAAGTGCATCGTGGAGCTTAAGTTACAACGAAACTCTTCATTTGACTATTGTTGGCACTGTGACCTGGTTTTTTAAGCTTTTTAATTAGTGATCATCACCATGTAGCTTATATAGCTCTTATTCTTTGCGACTTAAAGTCTAAGAGATCAGTCAGTATTATAGACTCAAAAGCCAAAATAGCGACTAAGCTATAAAGCTTAAAAATATCAAATCAAAAATTATGCACATTGAAATGTGAGAAATTTCATTTCTTGTATTTATTGTTACTTTAAGCTTGGCGCACGCAATTTTATACTTAAATTTTTTTTTTATAAATATAGCATTTAATTATGATGGGAAAGACCCGTAGATGTACGTATATTGAGCATTCGAATTTTTCGTCCATTCATGCAAAAAATAAGTCATAAACATTTTTTTTCCGACTTCAGTAATTTCTTCTTTACATACAGTGCTGTCATTATTGCGTAATAAAAGGGAAATAAAAAATTTTTTGTTGTGTATGAAAATATATTTAAATTTTTTTATGGGTTATTTCTTTCATAAAATTGATGAAAATTAATTTTAATAAAACACACTTCAATCAATGGCAATTATTTTTACACCAATGGTCTGTCCTGGTGGGGTGTCTTTCTCACACACAATTAAAGCAGAATCAAAAAGTGCATTATTATTTTTTTTTGTGGCTGGTAGGAAATTAATTGAAATAAATTAAATTCCTGCTATGTCGTAATTAAAAATTCATAGGATTATAATTGCAAAGATATTATTCTGACACAATTTGCTTCCGACTTGCTTAACGACACAATTAAAAAAAACTGTGCCGTGGATTTAAACGAATAATTATAGCCATTGTTAACATGTTTATATTTTAAAACCCTTCTGCTTTGTCTTTAGGTTGACAATTACATAACAAGACCGTTGTCATGTGAAGGACCCTCTGACTCAGGTGTGTCGGTGAGCAGCGAGAACATCTTTAGTCCCGATGGAGATAATACATCGCTTACGGCACAATCTCAAACGGTAAATAAAGAAATATTTACATGTAGTTTTTGTAATGATTTAATTAATTAGTGGATTCAGCTGTTGAATATTTTTTTTCATCGTCATGTTCCGTGAAATAGATTTAATTAAGTCAGTGGTTCTCAAACTGTGCATGGTGGACTATAGTTACGAGATAAAGAGGTTCATAGATTATTCACTACCAAGGCCCGGAACTCCTCTTTAGAATTAACATTTACAAACTTTAAAAATCTTGAGTTTTGACGTCTTAGTTTCTTTATGAAGTCTTTTGATCGATTATAGATCAAGTAAGTTGAGCTTAGGATTGGGTTCATTCGCCTTGCAAATTAATTTTTTATGAACGATAGATAAAATGCCAAATTGTGAAAAGTTGACTAATGAGTCGCAGCAAACAGCTGTAGAACCACTAATTTAATTTCTTATTAATCTCCTGGTTATAAAGATTATGTACAACAAAATCCGCAACTCACAGTTTGAGAGTCACTGTACTTAGTAATAAATTAATTCTATTATAATTAAATTTTAAAATGCTTTAATAATCTTTATGTTTATTTTAATAATTTTTTAAATTCCTATAATGAACGACTGATTTATTATGACTCATTTTATCTTCTTCTTAGGACTATGAATCTCGAAAAGTGAGGCAAAAGCACGTGCTGACTGAATTACTTGAGACGGAAAGAATTTATGTCAATGAAATGAGATCAATATTGACAGTGAGTAGATGTGAAAATTAAATAACATTTTATTATTATTATTTTTTTCGGTTATGTTGCCCCCGTCATCGTAATTGGCAATTTTCACAATTCATAATTTAATATTATGTTCGTAAAGTGAAAGAACTCAATTTAAAGTTGCGATAAATGATATTTTATTTTTAACAATAATAAAGCGGTAGCAAGAAGTAGAAAATGAATTGTGGAATGAAGCTAATAGAACTAAAAACCCAAATGTGTATGCAATAGAAAAAGCGAACAAAGAAAAAAAACAAAATTAAGAGAAGATTACACAGCAATATACATTATAGAAAGAAATTTGGCAATTATTTAATTGAGAAATATTTGAGAGAAAAGAAACAGCACTTAAGTATTGTTTAACTAGTAAAAAAATTCATTAAATAATTTATAATCTGATTTAAATAATATGTGTAGACGAATGCTTTAAATCTTTACTTACTCAATAATTACAATTATTTAAGGTAATCTCGGCATTATGCAACTCGTTTACGTATGCGAAATTTTTTTTTGAACGCGATTAAGGTTGATACCGCTATTATTAATTTTTATCCAATGGGTAATGAAGCTTTTTTGCTCGTTGATTTACATTAATAATTTTTAATTGTTCCATGTCTAAATTGTTGCTGTCTCGCCAGACACCCATTGAGCATAAGTACATGAATATATGTGTTAATCGAACAGCACAGAAACTGTTGAACTTTTTCAGTTTTTATGGCCGTTAAAGGCGCATTTTTGCTAAATTTTACCAATTATCTAATCATGAGGAATCATTGTGACATGTAAAACCCTAGCTTGTTTGCTTCCATTGCTTCTATTAAGCCTTCAATTAGATACTAATTGAATCCATCTTATCACTAGTCCAAATGCTAAACGACTCAGAATAGGAATAAAATAGTGGCACCAAGCAGATTTGAAGTCAGATTCACCTGTTGCCTCACATCCACCTGTTGCCACTATTTTGTATTTTCTATCGCTGGCTGTCATTTTATCAACATTTGCATACATTGTAAGCAGCAACAACAACATTTAAAAGTCTAAACTACTATAAGCCTTCATTAAAAATAAAAGCCATGTGGACAGACTACTAAACTGCAAACAGTACTTTTTCTCATCTTGTTAAAATCGTTGAATGTACTGAATCAGTTATCTCATCGGTTATTTTACGTCTTTCATTAAAGCTCTTAAATTTTTCGATTGAAAGATTTTTTTGTGCTGTTTTTGTCTTCACATGACTGCACTTTCTGTCCACTGCTGCTACTGTGCTTATGTATTTGAACATCTCTTCTTCATATGTGCATTTATATCAGTTATGCTTATTATGCTCATGATTTTTAAATGCCTGCAAGTGAAAGAAGTGTAAAGCGAATGTTGCCACTGGATTTTTTTTTTATTATCTATCTTTCATTGTTGAATGCAACGAGATGTCAGGGATTTAATCCAAGAAAAATTTATATATTCATGAGATGATTTTGAAATGAATAAGTGCTTTCTCTATTCAGATAAAAGCGTTCATAGTTAAGCCTCGAATGATTTATTGAAGCTTCCTCGCAGACCAATCATCTCCCCTGATAGCAATGCTGATGTGCAATAAATTTTTGTCTGAGATTTAAAAACAAATATATTAACATATAAAAAACAAAAATCAAAAACTTATTGAGGTAGAAAATTTAGGAAGCAGAGAATTAACAGTGCATTTCGAATAAAGCTTCGATGGGTTTTCATACTTACATTTTTTTTGCTGCTGCTGTTGCTTATGATTATGCTTGTGTGTATTAAAAATATTTTTGCTAAAGATATAGATAGTAATTAATATCAGCCGTTGAGTAGAAAAAAAAATACATTTTATGCTTTAGTCAAAAAAGAAACAACAATGAAATTTCAGTTTTGATTGTAAAGTGCATGGATTAACATCGGTTGGAAAAAAAGTGAAACAAAAATTAAATTTCGAAAATGGAAGAGATTTATGTGCAGAAAATTTGCAAAATTGGCATTTAAGCATGCAAATTCAATCGTATAAAATTTATTGAAGTGATTTTTCCTTCTTTTAAAACGGTAGAATGAAGATTGGATTTGTTCAAGAACAATCTGCGGATGTACTGAAAATTTACGACTTCCACTAGATTTAAATTTAATGACTCCATCAGCAAAAAAAAAAAATAAAATATAAAAGTTGTGTGATACAATCGAACAAACATCAAAAAGGCAGATCTTTCAATAAATTTTTGAAAACTAAAAGAAGGCAATTTATGTGTTCATAAAAGATATGTGTATGGTCAGATCATTGGTAGTACTTAAGTGCACGCAACAGGCAAATTGATCATATGGTACCATAATTAAAAAGAAAGAAATAGGAAATTCATGAAATATAATTGGGAATCAAATCATACAAGTTAATAGAAGAAATCATTACGAATACGTATGAAGTCATAAAACAAAAAGTCATAATCAATCGTTAACAAAGTGCTTTAATTTAAATTTGCTTGAAATAATAATTTTAGAGTCAAAAGAAAAAGAAAAAAAAATAGATTGAAAAGCTTCAAAAAAGCAATTAACGAGTGTGAAATAAAAAGCGAAAAAAAAATACTACAAGAAAAAAAGAAAATTTTTCAGTGGTTAAAAAAATGAAATTTGGAAATTATAACTTAGCAAATGCTACCGAAAAGCACAATCGGCTATTCTTTGCTCGCTTAAAGAAAGTGAAAAATACTTCGAATTATATTGTTGGCAAATTTAATAATCAGATCAATACGATTCGTAAAATAAACAAGAGAAAGGCGAATTTGCATCGTTATAGACAATATACGGACTCGCCACTCTCATATCGTGCATCATTGTTTGACAATAGGCGCCAACATCAGTATCATCGTCATCTATTATCACAATCGGAAAAATGTCGAGAGTTGAGGGCAAAATTGGAAAAATATCGTACATCTGCTGAGCATATCTACGAGACATGTGAAAAATATGTTCCAGATGATTTCCATAGACCAACCTCTTCATTATTCGACAGACAATCCCCAAGCTATCATTGCGTGTTCGATAAAGTTAAATTTTCAAAAATCAATAATGCAATAACGGGAAAGAGAAGCCATAAAATGCTTAAAAATGTATTTTTTACAATCAAAAGCAATCAATGTCAAAACATCTCACTGTTATATGACTCTATGGAATACGAGGAAGTAACGAAGAAGAATTCACTGAAAAAATCTTACAAATTTTCACCACCCAAGACAATTGAGAACCTGAGTGCTGATAAGAAATTTAAGAACAGCTTAACGTCACTCTTAAAGATACAGAAATGTGACGAGAAAACAGAACTGGAAGTACTCAAAAATTACTTTGAATCTATGACTTATTCTGATATTTGTAATGACGATGATTTTAAGAATTATTTGAAAAAGAAAAATTATCAAGATGCAATTGATTACATTTACAGTGGACATAGCCTTCTCGGTTCATCATTAAGAGAGGAATCAATGTACGGCTCAGTTACGGATGTCTTAAAACGTTATTATGATTTAGATTTGGATATTGTGAAAGATCCAAGCAATCAAAACGATTGTGATTCTGTTAAGAATGAGAAGAGGAATTGCCGAAGATCTTTATCCATTGACAGACGAAAATATTACAATAAAGAAAATTCAGAGTTCTTTTGTAAATCAAATAAAGAATTTGATGACTATTATAAACGTAATATTGCCATTTTTTATGAAGCAACGAAGACGATTGATGATGATTTTCTAAATAAAGATTGTAATAGCATTGAAGAAGATGCCTACCGGACATATGATCAACTTTTCTATCATCATAATTCAAGTGAAGATGAGTTATTGATTGATAGGCTATATGAATGTAAGAATCAGTCACAACAAAGCTACAATACGATGCCAGAGAAACGAAAAAACTCAAAAGATCAGTCCAATTTGGATAGAAGTAGAATTTCATTTGACATTGATGTGGGAAATATTATTGATGGTGACGATACGTTTTACGATGATGACGAGCATGGGAATGAGAATGATAATAATGAAAATGACAATTCGGAATTTAAGAAAAAATACCAAACGTATCCATTAAAGCGTAAAACCAAAAGAAATTATAAGCAATTACTTCGTTATTGTGAAAAGTCGTTGGCAAATTACTCAACCGTTGCTGATATGAAATTAGACAAATGGTGTAAGTCGTCCGGTAAATCGAAAGAATTTTCTGAAAAAGCTTATAACAAGATCATTAAAGCGTTCGTCCGACTAAGAGGCTTCGAAACTATCGAGTGCTACGTGCAGTATCATTATGGACGTATTTTGGATAAATCATTTGATAATAAACTTAAATCGAAATTGAGAGAAGCTTTAAGCAAGCGGAACGAACAGTTAGTGATTTCAAGGCCCATTTTAAGAACAACTACGCAGTCGTCTGTTATAGCCAACAATAGACTAGATTCATTGCCACCACCATACACATCAATTGATAGTGATAACAATTACTTTTATAAAAAGCACCAAAGTTCATCAGATAAAAAGTTTAAGCCAGCATCAACAGTGATTGATGCAAACAAGAAAGCCTCATCAAAAGCTCTTGATGACTGCTTTAAACACTACGATTACATTGAATCGAATTATGGCAGTAAAATCCACCAACCATCATCAACTGTCAATGGCAATGAACTTCGGTCACAATTTATATTTAGATTTGTTGAGGACATGCATGATGTTGGCATTAAATTTGATGAAATATTGTTAGATCAATCACAACTTGACAGTGACGATGATGATGAGGAAGAGAAGACCTACGAAAACTTTTTAGAAAGTGAAAATTACCCATTACATTGCGATATGCACAGTAATCAAGACATTTCCAACAATAATTGTTTTGAAACTTTAGCAATGTTAAAAACAGACAATAACAGTAACACTCAAATCAATCACATGAAACTTAGTGAAGCAAGCATGTGCAATGATAACATTTATGAAAGTATCGAAAATGCACATCGACGATGTAAAAGCAATATTAATAATAATTATCAGCACCAACAACGTAATAGCAGTAAGAACAATAGTATTATACAAAATCGTAGCCATGAAAACGAGACCAACGCAGCAAATGAAAAGGCACGGAAATATTTTTTCAATAATTTTTTACCATCCGCTTATGGGGTCATTTACTAATTATGTCTACTATTTAAAGGAAGAGCAGGAAAGGCTGGTAAAAGGTGCAGAACTGAAAAGCTTAATTTTTAACAATTTTTATCAGTTCTGCATCATTTTAAGAGGTTGGATAAGGAATACTTATCATCCCAGTACTCATAAATTAGGCACATCATTAGTAAACGACCCACTATGCTAATTAATTAACTCTACTTGGATATGAATGTGAATATGGATACACATAACGAAGCTACATCCATTTGAGAAATAAAACAATTCTGAATCCTGTTCCTTGAACATTCGTTGTAATGAATTGTGTAAATTCGCCATGAATTGAATTGCCACAAGCATAAGCACTCAACGACTATTGCATACCACTTTGGATTCTCCTATTTTATAATTTTAAAAATACTTTTTTCATCTTATTCTAAAATTAATTCACTTTTTGTCCGTAGGGTTATAAAGATAAATTACTTTCGGAGGAAATGCAATCGATGGTTCCAGCTGGTTTGCAGGGCAATGCTGACATTCTCTTTGGCAATCTCCAAGAAATTTATACTTTTCACTCGGATGTGTTTCTAAAGGACTTAGAAAATTCCATTTGTTTGACTGAGCTCGTAGCACTTTGTTTTGTTCAGAGGGTATTAATTCAATTACTTCTCGTTTTTAGCCAAACTTTATTATTAACAAGTTTCATTTACATTTCTTCTTTTTACGCCTCCTGTTTTTTGCATAGCGTGATGTATTTTTCCGCTTATACTCTTATTATTGCCAAAATATCCCGCGTTCGGAGAGATTACGAGAGACACTCGTTGACACTCATTTGTAAGTTTTAAATTACAGCCATTCCGCCTACAATTTTATAATTGAATTTCCTTTTTAAGATTTTTATCTGAATGTCAAAAGAAACTCGGTCATAAGTTGCCATTAGCTGCATATTTGTTGAAGCCAGTACAAAGAATCACAAAATATCAATTATTGCTCAAGGATTTGCTTAAATTCAGTGACTCGGGAACATGCACGAAGGAATTACAGAAAGCTTTAGACTGCATGTTGGTCGTCTTAAAGTGCGTGAACGACTCAATGCATCAGATTGCTATAACTGGATTTCCGGTAAGTTTCTTTTATTTACTTTGATAGAACGGAAATTAAAGTAGAAAAGTTTGTAAGAGAATTAATAATTTATGCCTCAACCTTTACCCTTTTTGCCCCACATGTGCTGTACGTATCGTTTTTCTTGGAAAACTTTAGGCTGATTTGTCACAACAAGGAGATTTGTTACTTCAAGATTCGTTCCAAATCTGTTCGGAAAATAAGAAGGATATTAAATTAAGGATAAAGCCACAGCAACGTCACGTATTTCTGTATCAGAAAGCAATTCTGTTCTGTAAACAAGATACAAAAACTGGACATAATAAATCAACTTATCAGTTTAAGCATTGGTTAAAGGTAGGCGAAACTTCTTTTTGCTTCCTATAAATAGAAAACTTTAACACCTGCTTATTTTAACTTTAATGCAGATGTCCCAAATTGGTTTGACTGAGTCAGTACGAGGTGATGTAAAGAAATTCGAGGTATGGCTGCAGGGTCGAAGTGAAGTACATACATTCCAAGCTGCAACAATTGAAATCAAAGGAAAATGGGTTTCAGAAATCAAAAGGGTCTTGATGAATCAATTAGAGGAACTGAAAGATGAAAAGATCAAACAATACGGAAATCATGTCAATCACAGGTAAGTTGATTGAGCAATAACTTAGTTTATTAATCATTTCCTCCTTTTTCTCCTTTCGTCTATAAATAATTTTTTTTTCATTCTCATTTTCATCTTCAACAATGTAGGCCATTGAAGCAATCAAATTCAGGATCGTACGAAGTTCCATCAATGAACATCAATCAACGTGCAATGAGTGTTGAGAGTACGCCTGAGAATGCCAAACAGAGAAATATTACGCCACCGATAACGGTTGCTGATGATGCAAATAATACATGGAATTCAACTGGAATCAGCGCATCATCATCAGAGCATGATAATCATGAGACCAATGCGTGGAGCTCCGATTGTTCAAATAGTGAAGATGATAATACATTTTTAGAAGAGAATGCCGTGCCGGTGAGTTAAAATAAATCTGCAATAAAAAATAAAATAAATGAAAGAGAAATCGCGCATTTCATGAACGAAAAAGTGCACTTTTTTATTCATTTCTGGTTAGGTGATTGGCATAAGACATAAATATTGTACAATTAAATTTAATGAACTGTAAAAAATATATCCGGAACTTAAATTCACAAAATTCAAAATTTAAAGTTTGTAATCATTGGAATGGAATTTTGGTACATTTTGTTGACATTGATGAATGCCGATCTGGTCTAAAAGGTGGTTGTTCACTCATGATGTTTACATTTGGGAGATTGTGGTTCTAATCTGTCTTAAGCATACCCTTATAACCCAAAATTTGTTCTTGTTCTGTTAAAAATAGATTAATTTAAAAATATTCAGGTATTTTATGATAGATGTTGCAGGACGAATCGGGCAGACTTTATCTCATAATGTAAAGTCCTAATAGTGCTAATCCTTGTCATATCGACATCACTCTATAAATATGTATGATTAAGAAATCGGTCTCTGCTGGGAATTGAACCCACGTTCTCAAAAAGAGTGTTACAGATATTCAGTCTGCTACCTTACCACTCGACCGCAGGGGCCTTTTTCTCGCACTGACAGATTCGCGTGTATATGACTTGATACCACAGATTCAACTTTGCTCAGGTACTAAGAGCAAGTTCAAAGAAGTCGATGTAACAGTATTAAATGAACTGCTCGATATCTTAATGTGTACTTTACAGACGACCCCCTCCTTTAAAGACATCATAAGTGAACGACTTCACAGCAACTTCGCACTAATTTTTAAAATCCTCCTTAATTATTTATTTAACTTTTTCGGTTCATTCATAACTCATTCGTTTCTGCAATTAAAATCCAAAATAAATTCTGCATGCTGCTTACTTTTTGACCTCCTCCAATCTCTTTCTCTCTTATTTATTAAATTAACTTTAATTTTTATTGTTATTTTTTTTTTCTTTCTTTTTTTCTTTTTGCATTAAAAAAACATTTATCAATTCCTACTTATCACAATTTGTATAAAAATAAATATATTTTATTGGATATGGTTCTGCACCTTAATTAATTATGCTGTAAATATCATGAAAAATAATCATAATTCCATTACGAAATCCCAATGATGTGACTACATACACGTATATATAAAAATTACTACACGCGCTGCTCATCGTCGCTTCAACTCACCTTTCCCGTCGGGATTTCTATTAATAAATGCCAAAACTCTGAACTTGCTTACTTACTTACTTAATATATTAGACGGATAAGTTTCGGAGAAAAAAGAAAGCTGATGATAATGATAATGGTGATAAGGCCATAGAAACAAAACATAGAAATTCAGCACAAATGCTTGTAGAAGCTTGTAATTTAAAAGTCAAAGAGAGAATAACAATGTATCAAGCACTGACTGTTGATTTAGAATCACCATCAAAGTCAAATACAAATCCATGCTCAATTGTTGTCAGTGATTTTGATGAGGCTAATAAAAAAGAGGAAATTGTTGAGGATGAAGCAAAAGAGACAACTGATAAGCGACTTAGCATTGCCTCTAATTCATCAATTGAAAGCTCACCGAGTGATAATAATAATTGTGATGGTGTAAATATCGAATATGGATCTTCTGTTTTTTATGTGATTTGGGATTAAAGTTGTAACAATGAAAAAACAATCAATCAAAAAAAAAAACCAGAAAAAAAGAGATAAATGTTGTATCAATGAATTTAATTTGTGTTAATGGATAAAAAAGAGAATATTTTTTTTTTTGGAATAGGTTGCCATATTAGATGATAAGTTAGAAGTGTTAAGGCATGCATACTTTATTATGTTATACATATTGTATTTAAATTATTTTCCTTGCTTTAATTGATTTATATTTCGCAACATACATTGTAATTTTTGTTGGTTTTTTGAATTTTCATTAGTTATGTTAATTTTACCAAAGGATGATAATCAATTATGTTTTCGGTTATGGAAAATTATAATTAATTCATTTATTTATTTAAAATCATGTAATGTTTATGGAAATAGATTTATTTCATAAATATATTCAATATTTTTGTAGTTAAATGAGTTATTGTGATATTATAAATAGAAACATTAGAAACAATTTTGACTAATATGTTTGAATATTTTATCACCTCCTACAAACATTTAAAAATTTAAATTGAAAATTCAATATTGAAAAAAATTGAACAAGACTTTCAATTTTGATTCCTAAATATTTAAAAATCATAACTTTCAAGTTTAAACTTGAATTCTTGAAACTTAATTTTAAGTTTTTGAATACTTTGATCTAATTTAAATTAAAGTTTCATATTCAAAATCTTTTTCAGAGTTTTAAAACCTTAATCTAAAATCTCAAAACTTTAACGACAAACTTTTGAAATTTTTTTTGAAAAAATTAAAATTTGTTTTTCAATTTTTTAAGTTAAATCTTGAATCTTTTTTTTAATTATTTAATATAATTCAGTTTTGAACCTTAAATTGTTTTTTTGAACTCAAAATATTCAATTAAAGTTGTTTTTTTCTGATCTCGAATATAGAATAGAACTTGAGAAAATGCTCCTTCAAAAAATGTATAGCTTCATCCCTGGTCTTATAATATTGAGAATAATATAATTTGAAATTCAACAATCAATCGAAAAATAATTCCATAATAGTCCTTGATTAAAAAAATCCTCTAGTTCCTATAGAAAAATAAGCTTTAAATCATAATTGAAAATCAAGGACTGTTCATCACCCCTGGAAATTAATCTATTTTCGAAAATTTTCCAACTCATCAATTATCAAAAAGGTTTTAAAGTTGAAATTCTCTGTAGTCGTATAAATCATAATAACTCATTTAACATTTTTTTTAATAATCTTCCTATACATTTTTTATAAAATCTCGGTACTTTATGTATACAATCTAAGTCATTAATGTTAACTAAGTTTCTCATAGCTCTCTTTTTTATTATCTCAATATCATTACTTTAGAACAATAAAATATTAATGAAAATCTATCTTAAGGAGAAAAACATTAAAAATAGATGAAGTAAAACTTTTTTGACCAAAAAAAAAACTTTTTCATTTAGGAATGCTTAATGTGTTTTATCTGTGTTCATATTAATGTTATTTATTTTTCTTTCTTTTTTTCTTTTTTTCTCTATTCTCCGTGCTATCCTATCTGTATGAACAATATTACACGCACAATACATATTTTTAATCCACAACCAAATTCCTTCGTTGCTGAACAAAAATAATAATTCTTTTCTATCGACTATGGTAAACTATGGTCCTGTGTATGTCATCATGCTCATTGTGAAATAATAAAATAATCACGTTTGAAATAATTGAATTAATTATGTGAAAATTATAAAGGGTACAAAGTTTATCGCACTAGCTGATTATAACGCAATGGGAAATTCAGAAGTATCGTTGAAAGAAGGAGCTACAGTTGAATTGAGGAAACTGGGCTGTGCTGGTTGGGTCTTTGTAAAGAAATTAGGTAATTTATGGATTGATTCACATCTTTATGTCTATTGTCAGCCAACAATTAACTTATTAATGCAACATATTACGTTAAAAATCTTTTTGCAATAATCACGGAATTATCACATCACTTAAAAATTAAAAATTGCAGCTTAATTGGTTCAGTGTCATACAACGTCACAGAAACCGAATAAGTTCATTTAAGAAATGATGACTTGAGTCAAAGTAATATTGCCAAAGTGAGCTACAGTTGAAAATAGCAGTGACGTCATTCATAGCAGATCTCAAAATCGAGTAGAATCTTAAAATCAATGTCAACTTGAGCCTTTGATAGACCCTGAAAGCACAAGTCGGTTGATCGATCAGAAATCTGACGCCAAGCCAGTGTGACTCTGGCATGGAGTTGGATTTAAATCGAATAACCAACTAATGCTTTCTCGGAGACATAGAACATGTTAAGCGATGCTGATGTGAGTCAATGAGCTTAGCCAAGCTAATGAGCACACTATGCAATCCTTAAACATGCTCAACATTTATTACACTATGCAAAAGCCTCCTTAACATTGAAAAAGATTCAAAACATAAAGATAACAAATTTGTTGGCTGACAATAGCTCTATACTTTTATAAATATGTAAAATTTCCACCAACCCTCAATTTTGTGATAATTTTCTGACTCAAAATGTTTCACACTTAATCAATTTGATCTCTTACTTTATATTTTATACTCCATTAAGTCACTTTTCCTCACTTTCTGATTAAATTATGTGTGCTATTAAGATAAGAAAAAAACAGTAAGTGCTGCAATTTTTCACCAATAATGAATATAAAGAAGACCTTTGAGGCAAGAGAAGCGTTGATCTGAACAAATATAAACTTTACGCTCTTGTAAATTGTACATTTTGACTTGATTTATTGGTGGAAAATTTGTACTTGCTTAACCTTTTTTTTTCAAGTATAAAGTACACTTCCTCTTCCGATTTTTTTTTTAAAAAAAGTTTAATGTTTGAGTTTTAAAGGAAGTGAAGAAGAAAAAGAAGAAAAAAAAGAAAAATTGTGGAAAACATTTCGTTTTTGTCTTTACCGAAAAAACTTCCTCACTTTTAAATTTATCGAGTTCCAATCAGTTAGCTGCAAAAATTCAAACATTTATTGCGTATTTTTAAGAGATGGAAATAGCATTAAACCTTTTTTTGTCCACGTGTAATTTTTAATGTCATTTTATTGGAATTTATTTGAACTCTGTTGGAGATTTAAGCTGAAATTAGATATTTTTAATGTAGAGCTTCTAAAGTTTGATTCTGTTTTGGCCGATAATCGGGAGAATCAGGCCCCCTGAGTAGCCTTAGAAACTAGTCCTTGAACCAAATGTCGAAATTGACTCCCGACTTTTAAGATTCGAATCCAAAACTGTCAATCTTACATCCTTCGGTACTTTTGAACATATTGCAGCAATGGCATATTTGGTTCCCCGAAATCAAGCTCCAGAATTTAGTCTGAAAATGAACTTACAGAAATATTCTTAAATTCTTTTGCAAGAGACCGAAATTCCCGAGAAGGATCTTTGTTCCCAATTCCTAATTTTAAACAAAATTCACAGGAAGAAAGGTTAAATCAGTTATGAAAGCTTTTAGGCCAAATTCCAATAATAATGACATTCTTATTCAAAATCAAGAAGTCTTATACATTAGCAAATGTGACTAGAAAATGTCACAGATATTTCCATTAAATTGCTGATGCTTTTGCATTAGTTTGCAGTTTTGAAATAGCAATTTGCAAATGTTTCTTAATTATATGGAAGCAGATGTCTCTTCTCGATAAATGCGCCTCAATAATAAGGTTCACTAGCTTAATTGCATAGTTATTTGAAGACATTTTTCCACTTCTCGACAGACGACATTGAGAAAAGTTTTCCTCACTTTTTTTTTATTCTCTTTTTCTTTCGCTAGAAAATAATTTTACTAAACTTTTATTCTTATCATTATTATTTTTATTATCTCTTTTCTATTCCTATATCCAACGAAAAAAATAATAATTTCGTCCAAAACACAAATCACATGGAAAAAAAAACTTTCCTTCCTGGCTTTTATTCTCCTTTCTTTCTCAATGTGATGTGATGTTGAATGTTCCCATTCAGATGATGAAACGGAGGGATGGGTTCCCTGTGCATTTCTACAATCGACCGGATCAATGGAGAGTAGCATTAAAAAGTCATCGAAACACAAACACAGAACTTAAGTCTTCTTCTTGATGTTGAACGAGATCGAGTAAAAAAATAATATTTTTTTTTGTTCCTTTATTTTTAAACGTGAATGCTTTAACAAGACATTTTTTATAGATGTACATTTTTTTGTTCTATAAAATTTACATAAAGAATTTAGAGAAAAATTTTTTCACGTTCAAGCACAATAAAAAATATTTCCTTGCACAAAATTTCTCGTTTTTTTCTGTGAAAAGAATTTTTCACTTCTTTTTTTCGCCTTAATCATTTCAATTCTCTTTTGTAATTGTTTGTTAAATAAAAATTAAAGTATAATTTTACTGTGCTTAAATGTTAATAAATCAAATCAAATAAAGTCGAATTTCATTCTTCTTTTTATTGGTTTATGAATTTTTAATTATTTTTGAGATTTAGTTTTTTTCTCGTCTTCATTTTATTGTGAAAGGTTTGATTACCAGAGGTAAAAGTTGACTTGACATTTAATGCAAATTAGATTTGAATTCTTGATGATGAATTTATAAAAAATTCAGTAAGTTGTTCTTTTACGATTTTTGTTCTCAAATCAACATCAAATTCTGGCTGTGACACTTTATGTCACTTCAAGTTTATTTTAGGTTTGTAAAAGTTATTGTGCAGCTTAAAAAAACTTTTTGCTAAGACTGTTGGTTGCTAATTCATCGCTTTTTCTATTTTGTCAATGAAAATTGTTCAAAGTTCAGGTGGAATTTAATTTTTGATTTGTTAGAAGTTTATTTTATTTAAAAACCATAGAAAATAAAAAAAAAATGTGAAAACCAACTTCAAAGACATCGAAACTTTCAAATAAGAAGCATTTTTATGACTTCATTCAAACAAATTTGTTTATACTTAAAATAAATTGACTTTCAGTTCTATAAATAGTTGAAGTTAATAATTGGCTAATACAAATCATAGAGAAAAAATTCTGATATTTTTTCAGAAATTTGAAATTTTTCGCAAAAGAGTTCGAAACTGAAAATTTATAATTTTGAGTTAATTTACTCATTTAAAGCTTTATTTTACTATTGAAAGAATTACTTTGAGTTCAAGCTGTAACATTATGATTTAATTTGCAATCTTTGAAGTAACAAAACAACTTCAGTAATTAGAAAATTTGAAATTGAAACCACAAGAATCAAATGAAAGAACCTTATCTGTAATCAAAATCAATTCAATCAAATAGTTTACTTGTTTTTGAATTGGATTCATTTTATTATTTTCGCAAAGATCCGAAAGGATGGAAAAGTTGAATGAAAATTTTGAAAAGAGTTCATTTTGAAACTCAACAGACATCAATATTCCAAAAAGTTTAACCAAAAAAGCAATTGGTTAAATTTTAGTCTGATTAAATTACTTTCAAAGAATCAAAAACTTTATAAAACTTTTCATTATCATTTGAAAAACCGTCGAAAAAGAAGTAAAAAGTACAATCAAGTTCTTCCTAAAAACACCAATCTTGAATGTGTGTTTTAATTTGGAAAAAAAATGAAATAAAAACACAAGAACCAAAATTTATTCATCGTAGGTTTTCCATCAAATCAAAAGTTTTTATTTCATTTCACATGAATTAAATGATAAAGAAAAAAATCATAAACGCAGGAAATGAAAAGCAAGAAGAAATTTTTTTCTTTTGATGCAAGAACACGAAAAAAAATCTCAATTCAAAAATAAAACAAATTTGAAAAACAACAAAAAAATCACAAATCTGTAAAAAAATAAAATTGTACATGCTAGAACTTTACATGAGCATCATGAATATCTTTAAGCTTAGCTTTATTCTTGTTTTTGCTGGCCAAAAAAATATTGTGTACATCAAAAGCTTTTCTCCTAAAAGCAGTTCCTCTTTTTATTGTTAAACATTTTCGTATGCATGAAAATTGTAAAATATTGTAAGGGATCATTCGCAAGTTTAGTAACGTCAAAGGATTGGTTATTATCCAAAATGAAGAACTCACGTGGAGTCTGATCTTTGATACCAAGACAGGTTGTGAGTCAAAAAAATATTTCATAGCATTTAGTCTGAATCTTGACAACGTCAGCGCTTCGAGATATTGTTTTTATATCGGAGTGACTAACGTCATTGCCAAGTCTATGTTCTTGATGATAATTTATCTTGGCCAGGCTATTGTCTAGACAAATGCTTTAGCCACGACATACTTTATGCTTAGTCAGTCTAGCACGTTACATAATTTACGAATGATCCCAAATTAAAAATAAAATAATCCCAAAAAAGATCAAAGTCAAATCACACAAAAAATGGTGCAATAAATTGAAACATTTACAAATTTTTCTCTGGATAATAAAAAAAAGAAGTTTTTTGCTAACAATTTAAAAAATAACAAAAAAAAGTTGATAGAAAAAAAATGACAAATATTTATAGCTTCAAATTTACACCCACACACCAAATTAAACTCTTTTTCTATAGAAGCTTGATAATAATAAAATTTTCAATGATACGTATATAGCTTAACATGTCATAAATAATAAGGAAAAAAAAGTTTATAAAATGAAAAAAAATATTCGCACGGATGAAAATCTGTATCATTGGAACTTTTTCACTCTAGAAAGCAATTTTAATATTTAAATCGTTGTTGTAGTTCGTATAGCTTATATCTAGCGAGAAACATGTCTAGTAAAAAATTGAATCATGCACTCGTCATGCAAAAAAGTAGACACACATTTCATAAATTCATTTATATTCATAACATGTGTATAGGAAATTCATTTTAATAGAATTATTGTTGATACGCATATGAATATTCATAAATAAAATAGTGATGGAAAAAATCTGTGGAAGTCAATTTGCATTTGTAGCTTATTTCATGGTCATTCAGAGTTGGAGGCTTGGTGTTGTCGTTACCAGGAGCCCATGGAACCCAAAATTTTTTAACAAAAAAGATTTAGGCCCCCTCCCCTCCCCTAGCTACACCCCTGATCGTTAGGAAAGTTTTATCTTGTTTCTTAATATCCCCTGAAGTATAAGTGAGGGGAAATTCTAATAAGGGTCTTAATATCCAGTAATTTCAAATGAGTATGGAGATAGACCTCTCTATGGCTACTTATAGCCGTCGAAAATGCCATTAAACTAAACTAAGCAGCAGTGGCATAGTGATTAGAATGTTGAGCAACCAACCTTAACGATCTTGGTTCGATCCCATAGAATGTCTTGTGTGATAAAGATGCTTCTTCGTCCACTCGGTTTTGAGCGATTCACAATGCACATAACCTGGCTAGATACATTGCATTGATATATCCTGGGTCATGCAATTGTGGAGAGTTGCAACTATCTAATGTGTCTATAAAGCCAAAATAAATCTGTCATATTTGATCTTTAAAATTTATAAAATTAATATTGAAATACAGAAATAATCTCAATCATTCTTTAAACCTAGGCTCGGTTTCTACGGCTACCAGAAGCACCCTTCCTTTGAATCAAAAATTGCTGTACTTTACTACTAGATATAAATAAAATTTAATTAAGATTAAAGTAGGGTAAACAATGTAGCCCTAGAATCCAGCCCTAGCTATTTAAGCTCCAACACATCAACTCTGAATCGTCACTTCATTTAAATAAAATAAAAAGTCCACAGATTTTTTTCACACTTTTATTCATGAATTTTCCATTATCGAAATGAAATTTTATAGATAAGGTAAATGCTTTTAAAAAAAGTCTGAATAATCACTAGAAATACAATGAAGAAAAAAACAAATTGTTAAATCCTAAAGTTTTTGGCACAAATCCTCGACAATTTTTTAATTTGAATTCCGTGTCCAGTAAAATAATTTTGTTAATTGCAAGTTTGTTGTCTATTCATATAAGAATCCCGTACATAAATAAGGTTTAAATAAAAGACATTGTAATATTTATTAAAGGAAGGAAATAAAGCAGAAATTCTCTTTGAAAATTGAATTTTCCACCGTCTTTTGTTGTCTTGTGTTGCAGCATTTTTTCAACAGGAAATTGAAGTCATTTATAAAAGAATTAATTTTCCTAGAAAGCGTCGTTTCCATAAATAAACATGATGCTCTTTTTACGCTGAGCTGTTGCATGGGAAAATCTGAAATTCATGTAAATTTCGATGCCTTTTGTATTCTCGTCGATAACAAATCATTTTTTGATTATGACAGATTTCCATGTCTTCCTACATCTGTTATTTTAAAGGAATATAAGCAAAAGAAATCAATTTATTTTAAAAACATTGTAGCTTGATGTTTACTTTAGATTTCAGCATACGTCTACAAACATCTGTGCATCAATAACAGCCTCGTGGAAAAAATTATTGAAATAAACTCAACGAAGCATTTAATAGGCTCAAAAAGGAAGGAACCGCCATTAAAGTTACAAAAATATTTTCCATAAAAAAAGTTCTACGCAATTATTGTAAAATTATTTTATAAATTGAGTCGATTTAAAGCTTCGAATTTTCTAGATTTGGTATTTAAAAATTATGTAAGCACAATAATGAATAATGAGTTTGTGAAGCTTCTACGAAATTAAGTTACAACGAATGCTAAAGTGGGATTTAACATATAATACATTTTGTATATTTTAGCAAAACTGTTTGAAGGCATAGCTAATGAGGAGTAAGTTTTTCCACATTCGCAGCTCATTAATATTAACAAAAATGTTGAAAAAGTTTAAAAAAACAATTAATAATCCTTTATCTGTAGAATTCTCAGGCTTGTTGTTTGAATCAAACAATATGTCGGATACAATTGAGAATGTGATGTGTGGCATGAATAGAGAGGGGCAGATAGAAATTCAGAAAAGTTGGTTACAAAATATTTTTAATGAAAAAGTTATCCAATTTTTGGTAAGAACAAGAATGTGGGGAGAGCTGTTTTTAATTCACAATATCTCGATCTTTTTTTACAAAAAAGTCGTCTTTGAGTCAAGTTTAAGTGTAAAGAAATAAATTTTAGTCAAGTCGACTTGCTTGAGCTCTGGTCCAGTATCGGAGCTCGTAGCAGGGAGAGGTAATTGGTTAAAAATCGATCTCGATCAGTAAATTTAAAGCTGTGATTAAAATACAACACAAAAATGCACCTTTTATTAAACATACTTTTTAGCATTAAAACTATCTTCATCTATATAAAATAAGTTACTTGCTGGTATTAAAGATTTGATGCGATTAATGACTTACTTCGAATATAACCTGAATTTGTATCCATCACTTATAATCTACTGAAAGTTTCTGGTCCTAAATGATTTATTCTTTTGAGGAGAAACAGATTGCACTTAGTAGTGGTAATTGGCAAGCGAGAGCCAGCTTCAGACGACATCTAAGGGAGGACATGGATTATAATTGATCTATATGTGCACCGAAGTAAGTAAGGAAGTAATGATTGATTTATCTTTTAAAATAATGTGACAAACAAGGATTTTGTTCATCAGACACCTTTTCCTCTAAATTTTCATCACTCAAATATGATTTCGCTATTTTAAAGATTTTAAATCCTCGATGTGCCTCATTTGACTTGAAGATACATTCCGGATAATTTCAAACAAGCGAAAGTGATGACTAAGAATGATAAATTACAAGACGCAAAAGAGCAATTTAATGTTAACGTTACAAAAGTAAGAATCATGTAAATGGAGCAGAGCGGAAGTAAAATAAAAAATAACCACAAAAGGAAGTGTGATAAAAAAAGTGATTTCGCTTTACATAAAAAGGAAAGACGAGAAATAAGTCAATAAGAAGGAAAAAGGCAAATAGTGGATAGTGTAAAAAAGCAAGTGAGATTTTACAGGAAGTTGTCTGAGGTTTATTTATTTCCTGCTTGCTTCTTTTATAAAAAGAAGGTGGAAGGGAAATGAGATGGAAAATTCTGTAAGTGAAGGCATTTGAGCATAAAAAGGAATAAAATTAATAAAATATGTCATATTGAATCTAATGAACTGTTATTTATTCAGCAATGATCAAACACATTTTAATTTAAATTTTGAATATTATCGCTATATTTATTGCTCTTTTATGTACTTTTTATTGAAATATTTCCCGTTTCTGTGTTTGACTCAAATATCAATTTGAAATAAATCAGCATTCTGTTGTCAATATTTCCATAACTACTGGAAATTTTATTATTTATTGGTGTTTATTTTACAATTGTGAACTCATTCTTCGAACTTAAAAATTCTATTTGACGTTAACATTAAATACTGCTCAATTTGAAGCATCTAGAAGGAAGGCAGACAAAGTAGTGACGAAGCAAAATGACGGAAAAACACAGGGGCATCTTATGACCAAGGAAATAGCAGATAAACTATAGAACTCTAGTTGAATCAGTGCTCGTACATTAATTTTCCAAGAACAGGGGCGTAATCAATGGAGATTAGGAGGTATTGCTTTCTTATAGGCAGTGCATTTGGCTCGATATTGCCTTTGACTAGGCAATCATTGATGAAGATACATTTTCATGCTCCTTTAAAGGCAATACTCTTGACAGATTTTTGTTTTTGATAGGAAATCGATAGTTGACAACTCTGTTCTTCAATCCCATCTTCTCCAAGAATGTAAAACTTTGTTGTTAATTTTTAATTGGGAATTTCCAACAATTCTTATTTCTTCTGATTTTGATTTCTGAATAAATTCTTCAAAGAAATTTTTTCCACTTCCATCTGCAAATATTTGCTATTAAAGTTTCAATTAACTTTCACAATTAAGACAGAAGGTAAAGGACGTCTGATGAAAATAAATCTATGCTTAAGTTCAATTAACAGCATGACATGAAGAAAAGTTTTCAGTTCGTTCAATTAATTCTAAATTAAAAATATTAGAAAAGTTGCTGCTTCAAAGTAAGTCCGAGGACTGACTTCATGCTTGCATCCAGGCTATGCGAATAGATTCAGGCAATTAACGTGCATCATGGTTTGTTGTCTTGAATTCAGACGGTAAGACAAACCTTTTCAATCTATTCATATGGAGAGAAGTCTGGAGTTTTGTGACAGTTTCGCATAAATGAGGAAAAATCTCTTTTTTTATGGACGTCATTTATGAAAGTCCCTTTAATTAAATTACAATAAGAACTAATATTTAATTCTTTATTTCAAATCTACACAAAACTTAATTTTATTACACACTTACTAGAAGCATCTCTGAAGCAAAGCTATTAAAATAGTATAAAGCTATAAAATATCATAATTAAGTAGACCTAAAAGTGATTTTTCAATTAATCACTATCTCGAAATCTTATCCTTAATCTGTGCATTTTTCCTCGACTTTTCTGTATGTGAAGCCTTCATTCATAAAGTCTCTTTCCGCGTACCATTTATTGAACTTGTCAATATATTCTTTGGACATGCTGTTTTTATAGTCTCCGATGATTCCTTTTCTTATGAAATTCTCACTGTCGCCTTCTTTGCCGTCTGTAAATTCTTGAATATTTGTCAAGACACTTTTGTTGTTTGTAGCTCCATTTTCTGTTGATGGAAGGAAATAAATTGAAAAAAAAGATGTTTAAGGAATAACAACTTACTTTTCATGTTGTCAAACCTTAGATGCTCTTTTAACTTTTGCCTATTTTCTATTGAAATACTTTTTCCTAAAAATTTTGCTATATTAAGAATAGTTCCATCTAAATCAGCACACATTCCTTCATATGTGATGTACATGATATTCTCATAATTTGGTAAATTTAGGTAATTTTGAACTGACTGTCTGTATGGTGCATAAACTATTGTGTCATTCATAAAGGAATCAAAATACTCTTCCATGTCCATCTTTCTTTTTACAGCTAGTGAATACCAAAAATGATAGTTAGACACAGCGACATCCTTAACATCTCTTGATACATAAATTATTTTTGGTTTCTTAGTCCACACTTGATCAGGAAGGAGTTGGACAGGTAAGTGAGTTTTTAAGATTCTTGGACTTGGCATTTCATCCAAGGAACAAGCCATTGTATTTTTGCGGAACAGGAAACTCCAACCTGGATGACTAAATGGAAATAAATTATTCAAATCTGGAAATTGACTTACAATGAATTTGAAAACTTACTCAAAGTAAGGACATCGAACATCAGACTCATGCTTCAAAGCACTTTCAAAGTCACAATCATTTGCAACAAGCCAGACCATTTCTTGAGCACGAGTCGTTCCTGAACGTGGAAATCCAGAAATTATAATGTCATCCTCACGGACTTCAAAATCTTTATATTTATCCACAAAAAAATTGAATTCTGGCAAAAAGTGAGTTTCTGAAAAGTTCTTCCATTTCTCGTCTTTGTTCTTGACGACAAGCAAAAGCTCCTTTTTTGAAGAAATTCTCTTGTGACTTTTTTCATATCCATTCATTTGTAGTTTAACAGTTGGATATGAAATATTTGTTTTTAAAGTCATATCAGCATTAAATGCTGTAAATGAGAAGTCTTCAATCTGAATTTCGAAACGCTGAAAGATTTGATAAGATTATAGTTCCATTTTATGGCGTTATGTTACAATAATTTGTTACCTCAAGAGTTTTCATGGCCAATGGATTGAAGTAAAATCCAAAATCATGCAGCATTTCATTCCTTACCGCGTCTCCTTGTTCAGATTTTTTCATCATTTTCTCACAATCATATTTTGTTAAATCTATATCCGGCGTTTTATTCTGCATCGAGTAGATTTTAACGTTCTTACAGACAATAGAATGTGGTTTTTTGAATTTAGTTCCTAGAAGCTTACTCGTCAATGCAATATGACCTGTGATCTGGAAAATATATTTGAAATTCAAAACTAGTTTCAACATGTTGTGTACAATAAAATCATTAAAATTATGAAGCCATGAAAGTTTTATTAGGTACAATTGCTTATGTGCCATTTATTTTGCACAATTATCATGAAATATATCATCTTGAGTAATATGTCTTCAACATAATGCGATCATTTGTTAATTGTGGCCCAAATGTTTGAAATTTTGCAATTCTTGAAGCTTTTGTTCTGTTAATTTGAATAACATTTTTATTTTTATAACTCTACAATACATCAATAATAATTCAAAGCTCAAATTTGATTTGACCAGAATTAAATTATCTTTAGGCAACTATATATTATCTATAATATCCCAGTCAACCAAGGTCAAGGGCGGACCTAGAAATGTTTAAAATGAGTTTGGGGTATTTTTGGTATTTTTTCTTAAAAACAACCCTAAAAACCACTCCCTGATCATGCTTTTGATTTAAGTCAAAATGATTTATTCAAATTAAATATTAGCAAGTAGACTTAAGTGAAACTTTAAGTTCTGAATTTGATCATTCAGTAGAACGCTTATTACTTTCAGCACTTCCTTATACTTACTATTTCAAAATTTCCCCATTTTATGTTGATATCTTGGATGCAGGTATTCCATAATGATATTGATCCTATTTTTATCTTTATTCCAAAAAGTTTGTCAAGTAGGAATTTGAAAATGGCTGGGATTATCCTAAAATTTATACACATTGTCGTTAGATTTTGTTTTAAAAAATTAAAGCAGAATATTGAAATTAATTTATGCGAATTTCAAGGGTTTATGAAATTTTAAAAAATTTTCATTTTTTTTATATTTTTGATATTTTAAAATAACTATATATTTGCTTTAACTCCTCTATGCAAATAATTTTTTTCAAAAATCTTTTCTTAAACTATGAAAAAGCACAATTCAAATTTTTAAATAAGTTCATTTTTTCACTTTTTTAAACATTTTAATTCAAATGAAACATTTTAAATTTTTGTTTGAATCATCACCATTTTAAAAATTTTTGAAAATTTTCAAGATTTTCTTATACCTTGATTTGTTTTTCAAATGTTCTGTTTTTTAAATTCAAGTTTTTTAAAACTTCAAAAATGTTTTTAAAATTTCAACTTTTGTAACTTCAGTTTTTTTTATTTTAAAATTTTCTTCCTTTTTCAATTTTTTTATTTCAATTTTTCAATCTTTTCTTTTTTAAATATTTTCTTTAATCTTTAATTTCATCTCTTAACTTTTAATTTATAAAATTTTGCAACATACTTTGCTATTAAAAAATAACTGATTAAAATGATATCCGAAACACCAAGTCGATCCATCCTAAACAACCGAATACTTCAACGATTAAAAATCTACTGAAAAGAGATACTCATAAGTTTTTTGGTTTTATTCACTTTGATTATGATATAATACTCATTTTTTTCTTCTTTTAATTCGCACATAAGACATGCTTTTTTATTGTCTTTCACATTTTCATTTAAAGTTTTGTTTACTAGAATGGGGATTCACTAATTATTTCATTTAACATCATTTGCATAATAATTGAAAGACAGTCTTTTTAGCACATTATAAAGAAAGTAAGTAAGTCCGGATGGGATATGTTTGTGCAATATGATATTTTATTGTCAAAAGAGCATGAATGTAAGATTTTGCGAGAGGACGTGAATAAAAATGGAATTTTAGATTAATAACTCCGCTTTTTACTTTCACAACGGGGGGAAAGGGGGGTTCAGACTCTCTAGACTACGTTCTGCACAACAGTAAGAATTTGGTAAGTAGACAATGCTTTGATTATCACTGTTGAGTGGGGTTGTTCGCATATTTTGTATTAACCAGTATTAACATCCCCACAGTTGAAGATCACACAGCTCTAGACCCCCTTAAAAGCTATTAGTCATTTGCTTATTATGTTCATTATTCAGCTGTAAGGGATTGTATAATTTTGTTTAAATCGTTTCATGGACATCATAAACGAATAAACCCTAGCTGTAACTTATTTGAATTTTTATAATTAGTGCGTGAATTTCATTTCGATCATAAAATCCGAAAACATTTAAATCATCAAAACAATTGACCCTAAAATGTAATCTCGTGTTTTCTTTTAATTACAAATCTGCATATTTATCAAAATTGCTGCTTAAATATTTTAATTTTAAATAAATCTTAAACTATTTTATGGAGCTTTTCACTTTAAATAAATAAAATGAAACTGATATGAGATTATAAATGTATGCTTCAATGTTAAATCGACTAATATGATTTCATGCAAAAATAAAGATTACGACACTAGTGATAATATATTTTTTATTATTATTTTAAGACACTAATTTCACTTTTGCAAATGAAAGCGAGATGATTAAACATCTTCGCTTGAAATTAACCTTTTTTGCATATTTTATTTTCTGCTTTTCTGGAAAATTTTAACACCCGTGACTGTTAATTGGTGTTAACATTTTAGCACCATGTGTTGCTTTATTTAATCGGATGTGGAGCACATGATGCTTAATCGGTGTAGTTTCCGGCCCCTTCTTTTGTCAAATTTCCTTAAAATTCAATTCTTTATTATTAAAACTTTTACAACAAACACGATACTAAGCAAAAATTAGTAATTCAAACTCAAATGCACGCCTTGCACAGTGGATGGTCTTATCTCAGAAACAAACACGTGACTTGACTACATAAACAGCAATTCAAACGCTTTCTTACTAAAATGTTGATTATTTTGGTAAAAAGTGACGAAAAAATGATTAATTTGCTAAATGTGAATAAAATAAGAAGAAATAATCAACTTGAACATCACTTGATGCATACTGGTAGGCTGACCATTGGCTTTTGGTTAAAAAGTGTGCCAAACTTTTGTACTTTAAGCCAAACGTATGATTTTGGTGTAAAAATGCGGACTGCCATGCTAAAAAGTGATTTTTAAGATAACGAAAAACGAAATTCGATTAACTGAAAACGATTTAAAATCTAGTTGACTATTCTGAATCAGTATTGCAAATGTAGATGTCTACACTAGATGAAGAATGTAGCTTCTTCAATAGTTTTCGTCTAGCTAAGAAACTTTCTTCATAAAGATCGATTCTATGTGAAGATAGAAAATCTAATCTACACAAAGATTATTTCTACATAAAGATTCTGTCTACATAAAGATTCGATGTAGATGTCTACAATTCTACATTTTTTCTAGGTCTACATCAAAGATTCTGTCTACATAAAGATTCGATGTAGATGTCTACAATTCTACATTTTTTCTAGGTCTACATCAAAGATTCTGTCTACATAAAGATTCGATGTAGATGTCTACAATTCTACATTTTTTCTAGGTCTACATCAGAGAAGAATGTAGAATTGTAGACATCTACATCGAATCTTTATGTAGACAGAATCTTTATGTAGAAATAATCTTTGTGTAGATTAGATTTTCTATCTTCACATAGAATCGATCTTTATGAAGAAATTTCTGTCTCAGAATTTATCTGATCCAGATAAATCGCCAGAATGCAACACTGTTCTGAATGCCTAAAACGTAAAAAACTCAAATCAAGCAGTTTAAAAACATTTGGATTGAAATAGAATCTCAAAAATTTTCATAAATTCAACTGGATTAACTTTTGGTTGATTTGGTTTATTTTTCTGACTTCTCTATTCAAAACCAGTCACTTCTCAATGATGTAAGCACAACTATACAAATTTTGATACAATGCAATGTTTTGTGAGTTGCCTGCAAATAAATGTTAAATATTATTTTATAAAACTCAAAATTGAAATAATTGTTTAATGTTTATGATAAGCATCAATGGCCAGTTACCTAGGACGCTTAGTAAGCCTTTGGAACTATCGTCAGAAGGTTATGTTGAAGCAGAATAGAGTCTGTATTGAGGGTGTAGGGAAAAAATTTCAGAAGGATTGGGGAAGACTCGGAAAGATCGGATAATGAACAGATTCTTAGGTAACGAACCGTATAAAGGTGAATTTTGCTAAATCAGAAAAAGGACTGGAGAGGAATCGAAATTCTGTAACCCTTTATTTTATGAAGACTTGGGTTCGATTCTTAAATTATTTAAAAAATTTAAATAATGCTCAATACATTACCAACAGCTCTGATTCGAACTGCAAACCATTAAATACTTTCTTCACTCACCAGTTTAACATTCTTCAATTTCACATTAACGTATTTTAAGGATTCACTTAAAGCTGGCACAGACTTCACTTTTAATTCAACTCAATACAGTTTTTTTCAGCAAATATATGAATATTGTTGGAAATAGCCTGTGATTTTGAAATTTTTTGAATGATAAATTAAAAACTTTGAAATTAAAAAATTCTAATTAAGACAATATCAAAAGCACTCGAAATTATTCATAGTATGCAAATAAAATGGAACTTAGCACTGCATAATGTGTCGACACTTAAAGCACTGAGCAATAAATGGAGAAAGACTTCTTTAGTGCCTCAACTTTATTTGTACAAATGCCATAAAAAAAGTACACGACTTCTTCTTATGTCAAAAGTTATGATTTTTTTTTTGTTGTTGCTTGTCATGCTTTTAATTACATTTTAACCCAAAATGTAGAGGGAGGAAATTTAATTCCAAAATAGGATATTACGAAAGTCAGATTCGTCTTAAAGGTTTTAATTCTTAAAAAGATCACAACGTGGTGCAGATTGTGACAATATTTAATGACATCTAGATCGAATATTTATAGAAATTGCTTCTGATTTTCTGAATGTTTGGATTCAAAACTCTCCATTAAGATAAGCCAAAAGCTATAGCATATGGTAGCTTACATGACTTGATTTTACATTCAATTTTGTTCCGCATGTCACTTTCATGTTATGCACTTCAACATAATATTTATTATGATATCACATTTAATAATTAATAA